AAACAAACAAATTCACTTTAACATTTATAGATAATATAAGTAGGTATGGAAGTAATATGTAGACGCATATTTGTAAACCTATGATAGGTACATTTAATTTGACGAAGAGTTGGATGTTGTAACGAAATTTGTACGGTCCGTACACCAGGGTTTTAAGTTATAGGATAAATCAGGAAACTCAGAAATAAATTTAACTGACTACATTGATACAAAATGATGGTAAAATCGAGCCGCGACACGTCATGTGATAGTCGAATATAAACGTTCAGGTTTAAGGTATGATTTAGTAAATGAATAAAGTAAGGTGTAGACAGCTTAGAGTGTAACGGCGTGGCTCGGACAAACATTACATTACTTATTCTTTAGTTCATCACTTCTTTAGGCGTCAATGCTAAACGCAACTGTGTATTATTGGCAATAGAAATATTCTTATTAAAAAAAACACCGTTCAAACTTAAAATTATAATTGTTTATGAATTAATTTTGACCACCGGTAATCTGCAGTGATAAGGCATACTTGTTTTTATTATTTAAATAAATGGTTACACTGTTTATTTTTTAACAAACAGATAAACCTAACTTAACTTATAATTATATTTTTTGTTTAAAACCTACCAAATGGACTCCATTTTAATTTAATTTAGGTAAATATCTAGTTATCTAATACAACAATCTGCGGCTTTTCTTAGAATAATAAATGTAATGTTTAGTTAGTATTAAACTGGACTTAAATTGCGTTTTAAAATTGTTAAATTTGATGCTATAATTATCACACATTAAGTCAATTAATTTGGTGGAATCTATTTTATTAACAAAATTATCCTTTTCTTTACTGAGGTAACAATAGTTTCAGATTTGTTTTCAAACATAAAAATAAACCCTAATTATTATACCATGACTTCAATTTTTAAGTGGGAAAAACCGGAAAATATGGACCCATGGATATTTACTGATCATTCCACCGTTCAAGGATTATGAACTACAAGCTTTAACTCTCGGGATATCTCACGAATCACATTTCCAAGTACAAACATTGCTTTTGCAAGTAACTATTCCAAAAGCAATGTTAGTTTATTTGTTATAGTATCAGGCTTTCAATGAACTTCAGTCAGAGGTATAAAACAAAACAGTAATAATATTATTCTACCATAGTCTCAAACTAAGCAGAGCTTGTATTATGGCTACTAGACAACAGATATAAATACATATATACTTTTGTTTATGTAAATACATACGTATTATAGATAGAAACACCCAGACCAAATCAAACATTAAATGTTCAGGCGCACAAATGTTTGTGTTGAGAATCGAACCCTCGACCTTTGGAATAGCAGTCCGTTACACAAATCAGTACGCCATCCGGTCGTCAGTGTACTTTTCATGCAGACAATGGAACTGTTAACTTAGGATATCTGATTTGATTGATACCTGATGACCTTGCTATGTATTAGTTACTGTAGTACATTGAAATAGCTGACTTTTGTCACAGCTAGTGACTCTATCGCAACGCTATGTGTGTTTTTTCTGCTAAAAACAAAAGTGAAGAATGCGGTGAGGACAGCGACCGCACACAATAGCCTCCGGTGCGCCGGCGCCACTGTACTTTACGGTACAACATGAGAGACGACTGGGTGACCGTCTGGGATAATGTTATCTAACTTAACTGTTCTATAAATTAGACCTTAAAACAACAATCATTCGAAGGAATTTCAAACTGTTATTAGAGCAATAGAAATAACGTTTTCAAATCTTTTGTTTGCGAAAGCGCTGAGCAGCAGCGCTACTTCTCTTTTCAAATATTTGTGAAAGTTGGGATGAACGTTACTTTGTTACTTTACACACCAGAACGGCTGGATAAACTGAATGAACTTTAACCAAAAAGATAGATTATTTTTTGGACTAGCTAGGTTAGTTAGGACTTATCCTCAAAATTGATTACCTATATACCAATTCATTACCAGAACGTTAGTAGAAGTACTCATATATGTATAACTGGATAGGATTTTTTTAATTGTAAAAAAATATATTTAAATATTTATTTCCTTCAATTAACATTAAAATGCTTCTGAATAATAACACAGTTTTTTACATTTGTGAGAAAGCTGTACAAAAGTGACACTTCCGTGGATAGCTGATATAGTTATTGAGCGTAACCATTGTTCATTGAATCAGTGAAGACAGTTTCTGAACAATCAAACACAACGGTAACTTGGTAAGTTTTGTACAGGTTTTTGTTCCCGAGATCTTTCAGAGCGACATATTTCGATTTTTTAAATTAACAAGTACTATGATGGTCATTTTTGTGGAGTAGTTACCAGAACGTAAGTCCTTATTTGTTTAAGGTCTATGAGACACTGAAATGATGAGCCTGTGTAATGTTGCCCCGTCACCAAATAGAGAGAAGAGCCGTTACAGAAGCTCCTCTGACGTCGCCACAACAAAATAAACATTAATTACTTGATATACGTCTTCCTATATAGTATTTATAATATATATATGTACCGGTACATCCTTTTTTAAATTTTAAATTCCACATATTTTAAATACTTATAGCTAACGGTACGAAACATTATTAGAAACTAATTCATACAACTGCGTGTTATCATGTTTTATGTGTTACAGTCCAACAGTTGTAAGAACTAAAGTGAACAAAACCAACTAGGAGAATAGTGTGATAAATGCACGCGCATCTATAGTAAGTTTGTGAAAATGGCTCAACCAATTTTGATGAAATATAGCACACCAATAAATTACACAGGGGTTGTACCGTGGGCGAAAGCTCGTTTTCATTGTGAAGTCCTATCGTTTCAGTAATAGAACAATGTAATTTATTTTAGAGTTACAAGGAGTTAACAAAATGTTTCATCAACATAAATATTAATTTTTATTATAAACCAATTTCAATTGACTTAAACTAAAATCAATGGTACAGATACAAATGTGAGTATTAAATAACAGTGGAGCACGGACGCTGGATATATTTATCTAGACACAACAATCTGTCATAAATGGCATTTAAGTTACAATTTGACAGGCGTTGTGTCGTGAGTAGTCGTGACGCTGTGTGTCACTGCCTCGCCGACACACATTAGCTATTAATGCTAACGAGTCGATCGAGTTTTTGTTTTGTGGTAAATATGCATTGCAAAAATATAATTTAGAAAACGAAAGAGTTACCTAAGATTAGAAAGAGTTCTCGATACTTAAAATCGATAATTTACTGCATTTTACTCACATACCTTTATGTTAGTGTGTATCTTAGGCACGTAATCTTTGATTTATCTAGATTTATAGAGATTGCCAATAGCGTGTTCAATGGCAGAATGAAAAAATATATACTGAATTATATTACCCTTGTTGTTTGTCTGTACCTATCGCTGGCTACCACAATGCGACATTAATGGTAACCCGTTTAACATTTTACGACTTCTCATCTATAATAAAATAGCGAATAGGTATTAGTTGACAGCTTAACTTAATTGTGGGAAACGAGCTACAGTTGCGTAATACGATAACAAAGCTAACATAACTTATTATTAATTGTTACATTTATAATAGTCTAGTGTTTAGAGAAGACTTCAATGCTATTGAAGTCTTCCTATATAAATTATCTTTTTAAATCGTCGTTAAACGCATATCTAGTAACAAAAGCCCTGAAATAAAATCAAAGCATCGCAAATTTACTACGCCATAAAAAACTAATAAATGACTTTAAAAAATATTTCACTTTTTATAGGTATTTCGTAAATAGAAGAATTAAAGGAAGCATTTGGCGACAACGACTATTCTGTCACGTAAAATTGTTTATCTACTAAATGTAAATTTGCATATTAAAGGTCATTAGCACTTTCTACCATTCTACGTAAGATACACCAGGTGCATTTTGTAATGGTACCGTACATCGTAACAAATGCAGAATAATAAAAACCAGGACGCAAGGCGATATGGTGCTATGTCTAGTTCGTACGGTGACCGGTCGCTGAACTCAGATTGTTATCAAAATACCTAGTTAATTCTAAAACAAAAAATGACACGCAATGCACTTTAAATGTCGTGTTAGGTAGAGCGAGTAGGGGGGAAGTGTTTTTTCCCCTGGGATAAGGCCTGATTAGGCAGGGTGTCAATTCGGGGAGGACCTGAAAGGCACCTGAAGGGCACCTGAGGCCGGCCGTCGGGGTGGTTTTAAGTGGAATCACCACATACTCCTGGCTCCTGAGTCCCTGAGGAAAAGGAGATCCTAAGGGATTATCCACCCCATCAACAAAAAAAAAAGTAGAGCGAGTAGCCGATGGCTATGCAGTATATACTCGTATATGTTGCGGATTTTCGCATACCTAAGTGTGACACTTGTTCTTATTTTTCTGTGTTTTAATGATAAACCTTGACAAATTTATTGATTGAACATGACTAAAAACCTTTAAAGAAAGACTCGGCATCTAGGTAGGTTTAACAAACATGCCTTCCCAGATCAACACAACTGTGTAATGTTATTAATCCAGTGACTACGCATTAATACCTATTTATATTATAGGTAGGAAATATTACTATCTTTTTTCTAGGAACCTTCCTTACTTTTAAGACCTTATTATAAAACAGCGTAGGGATCATATACTTATAAGACTTGCTTAGTTCTTAAGCACGACATGAATGAACCTACTGATTAAAATTGATAAAGAGTTTTTGGACGATCCTTGTAATGATTTTTTAAACAACTAACTAACCCTGATTACCTATGAATGAGTATTTAACATTATATTTGTAAAGAACATTGATAATATAATCTAATCCAAACATGCACATACAGAAGTAACTTGGACAACTGTTTTCTTAAAAAGATTATTATCACTAACTTGAAGCCGTCGATATCCGCTCAGGTGATGAGTATTGCAGCAGCAGACGTAGATGCAGAGCAGACAGGTGTGTATGTATATATGTCACTAATCACTCCCGCACGTGCGGCACTGGTTTGATACAACTACAGATATCCACGATAACGAGATATGCGGCGTGACGCGTGTATCCCGGCCGAGGTGCGCGAGCTCACTGCCGGCGGGCGGCGCCTGCACACCTATCTGCCGCAGGCTCCGCCCCCGGGAGGAGCTCGCCGCCCCACGCACACTGCACAACCCACGAAAATGCGCTTTTCCATAAATTGCAGTTTCCGTGACATAGAAGGACGTGACGTGGTCATGAGGCTCGTGACGTAGGGCGCGGGAGGCGCGGCGGGTGGGGGCGCCGGTGGGCGGCCCCTATCACGCGAGTAATGGGCGCTGCACAGAGATTTATAGAGGGTTAGTTTGGGGCCTTAATGGAATTAGTGCTGCGTTTTGTTTATAGTCCGACGTCGTTATCAATTCTCCCCTCCCTGCCCCTCCTGTGGCGGCAGTGCGACGAGCACCCGCGTACAACCGTAGCTGATTAGCCGGTGGCACACACACCGGTGATCACACGAGTGACGCCAAGTTGCTTCGTGTCCCGTGACTATTCGACTTCTCATAATACCTCTCATTTACAAAAACATGCGACCCTTATACTAATATAAAAGAAGTAGGTAACAACTTTTTCTTATGTTACTTGAACATGCTTACACATTGGTAACTTTCTACATTATTTTACCTTTGTAAGTAACAAAGTCAAACATTTATTTAATGAGTAATATTTACTGCATATTGATGATGATGAAATGAATATTACCTAGGTACTCTCTTAAGCAAGAGTATTTACTATTAGTATTAGAAGGTCATTTATGCGTTTCGCATCTTTCAACGGGTATCGATGAAGTCTTTCAAGCCCGTCTCTTGGATAATGTTATCAAAATTTTCAAAAATAAAAATAAAAAATATTGAAGAGACGATACACCTAATGGATGGCGGGGAATTTTTGGGTTTCAGAGGCCCCAGTAGGTATGCGATTTATGGAAATATTTTGTGTTGAAGAAATAGACTAGAACAATCGAAAAGTCCGAGTTTTTGGACAGCAAGCTTTAAGTTCATGACGAATAACGATAATTTCCTAACGAATAACGATCCTACACATACGAGTAAAGGATAACGACGAGTTACAACCTTCACAAAACAAATTGACAATATTTTGCGATTGGAATTTTTTACTTAGTCCAGGATCCTTTCATGTGGCATACCTACCTACCTACATACGAGTACATATTAAAGCAAGTTGAGGTGGTATTTTAAAATAGTTCATCTAACAAGACGGAAACAATGGCAAGCAGATCCTCATTTATTACTCGTAGATCAAAACTTTCGCAAAGCACTGCGCTCAATTGCGTTATCAGATTCATAAACATCTGTTTTACACCTATTAGAGTTCCTATCGTGTACCTAAAATATTTCTAGGAACTATGAATTTAAAAAACCTTGGTAGAGTTGGATAACAAATAATAATTTGTATCTTAATAAGGCAGTACCTAAAGGTCAAATTTCATTAATTTTTTAGATAGGAAGTATTGTGCCATGTCGATGGTTAAAATAGCTATCTACCACAGCATAGTCAGAAACTGTTTAGTACATAATACGAATGTAAGTTAAATTTCATGGTATTTTTATCAAAAATAAAATATTCACTAATACTAAATACTAATCTAGTGAATAGTTAGATTTTGTAGCATAGGACCTGTTATAGCTGAAAGACGAGAGACGCTATAGTACCTACTCATTTTTAACCGACTTAAACAAGGAGGAGTTTCTACATTCGACTGAGTCGCTAACATGACTTTTTTTGTGTAATATATGCGATATAATTTGTAAATCGATTTCAATACTTTTATTTATTAAACTGGTTGGTTACCTAAATATTTATGGATTTTTTTGGATGAAATCTAGGTACCCTTCAGTCTATGTGTGGGCAAAATTATTTAACGATAAGTTAAATAGTCACCTAAGGCATGAGAGTATAACGAACAAACAAAAGTGACTTTCATTTATAATATTATTTAGGATTAGAATCGCCAGACATTTGTCCCCTTGGAAATAGGCGGTTGTGGATCGGCACAGGCATAATGAGAGATTTTCTATACTTATATATTAAGTTTGCTAAATATTTGACAAAACAGAGATTGTTGCTATTGTGTGTGTTGATCTATGACTTTAGAGTCTACACAAGAGACGATTTCAAACAATTTTAATTTTTTTATGCAATAAAAATACCTATTTGAGTTTCCTTGGACTGAAACGAAATTTAAACAATCAGTTGCTCTCAGTGAGACTTGGTGGTATCTCTGCGTACAGCGCTTCTTACTTCTACTAATCAAAGCAAAATATTATGAAAGCACCACGTGAACATGTTATTTAAAAACAAATAAAGAACACATTCCCACCGCAGTTTATTAGTATGAAGTAAGATAACATAATCAATGCGAGCTTCTCATAAACGATTACATTAAAATAACTTTTAAAAACTATATTGAATAGCGTTAACAATATAACATATAATTCCTAGTAGTGAACGGGTAGATTCCCACGGTCGTTATCAGCTAGCAGGGCGCTTAGGCCACGGGTCGGTGTCGCCGTCTCCACAAAGCGCCGCCCGCACAAAGACCGCTCTCAACGAATAATGAAGTCCTCACAGAAGACAATGATGGGCTCTCACAAATACAATTAATCCCCGTTATGTACATATCGTTCAGTCGCCACCGACGCCCTTCGTGCCAGTAGCACAGCAGTTTCTCTTAACTGGGACAGTTTAGTTCTCTCTGAACGTTCCTACCTTAACTGAATGAATTAGCTCATGAAGCTAATTTTTTACAGAAATATGTATGTATACCTATGCATACACATTTCTCTAGGCTCTAATCACTAACTACCTAGTTATACTATAGAAGGTCATTTTAAATTAACGTCCTTCAGGGTTTTGCAATTATTCGTGCGCAATTCTATATCTGTAAAATAAAGAAACTTTAAAAGCAGGTTTCTCTGCTTAAGTAATACTGTTTACATCTCTTTGCAGGTACACTGCAGTCGATGGCCAGGATATTTGAGGTCGCCTTGACCTTAACCCCTGGCGTTCGAACCCATATTTTGGACAATTGGCACTACACCACAGTGTGTGTTTCACGAAACTATTTACTCCGCGCAATCAATCTAGGTATGGACATATTCGCACCAGGGCCTTCCTTTCTAGGGTATACCTGATTCCCCGGCTATTAGTACCCGGTTTTAGTCGGTTCGGGTCCGACATGCCACCGACAGGTGGTATCCGAGGGGATTTCCGCACGGAAAAAAAAAAAAAAAAAAAAAAAAAAAAAGGTATGGACATATTTGAGCCTGCCATATTGGCAGACTGTTACGACCTTCAGGCTTTAGCAGTTTGCCTCACCTTGCCAGTCACGCTCTCACCTTGAACACCGACAATGCACTCGTGGCTCTTGAGTTGGTGGTGTCCCTGAGCGAGGGTTGTCGGTTACCATAAGGTGATCAGCTCGTTTGACTACAAGGTCATACAAAAATAAAGCAAAGCATTCATAACTGTCCATGGATACCGGATTCCCATCCAAGTCTGGGTATATGAGACAACTAATTAATATTAGGATTTTTTGTTTTAAATAGAACTGTTACACAGGGCCGTCTCGTTTCAAACTAGGTATAGCCTGTGCAATGTTAACCAGACTGATAATAAACATATTTGTATATTTCTAGATACATATATAGGTTTTATGGATAAATTACACACAGAATAAGTAATAAATATTAAGAGTTAAGTGAAAACAAGCTGCAATATAAACTTAATTAAATCTAAAAACTAAATATTTAAAAATACTTTCATATCCTTTTTTGTTATTTAACAACTTCCATTCACTTTTTTTTAAATACTTTAAGTGTTATTAGATACTTTTGAAATATTATTTTCTCAGACACGTAAAACAGCTCTCTATAATCAATGTATTTCAAGATTACATACAAGTATTACATATATTTATCCCCAATCACCCTTAAAACGTACCTAATGTTCCTGGCGGGTAAAAAACTTAGAAATGTATATATATTACTTACACTTAGTTTACCTGTTTTATTTTTTTTATATGTGGGAATCCCCTGGGATCCCCTGGGATCCACCTACCGATGGCTATGTCGAACTCGAACCGTCTAAAAACCGCATCTCGAGTACCAGTAGCCGGGGAACCAGGTGTAACGTAGAAAGGAAATCCCTGGTACCCCGACGAACCTCGGGGCATCTACGGCAGGTAGACTTAGTTTACCTTTGGCTAATGTTCACTTGTTATAAGCTAGTTATTGATCTACTAACAATCTATACAAATAAATAAAATTGGAGTGTCTGTTTGTAATATTAAAATAACCGCTTCTTACTAAATGCATATGTATGTTTACACGGTACATATGCCAAAATAACATTTTTTACCATTTTTGTCTGTCTGTCTGTCGGTTTGTTCCGGGTAATCTCTGGATCGGCTGGACCGATTTCGACGTGACTTTCACTAGCAGATAGCTAATGACATAAGGAGTAACTTAGGCTACTGTTTTTAGACAATAGAATAGCAAAAAGGCCTTAGGACATTGCTACATGGCTACAAGTTGAACGGTGGTCGTAAATACACGTCCACATCGAATACTGAACTTATTACCGCGAGTGACTTGAAGGTATACCTCTCACACAGTTTCTCCCATTTTAGTTTTAGTATTGGATCCCATTTTAGTTTTAGTATGGGATCCCATTTTAGTTTTAGTATTGGATCCCATTTTAGTTTTAGTATTGGATAGAGGTGCAAGACCGCTGATCGCAGAATTAGTTCTTGCGGTCAAATTCCATTTTAGAAAACTAAATTCATTTTACGTTCAATGGTCGTGAAGGCAACAACGAGAGCTTGTTTAAGGCGGTGCAGTAAGGCACATCGGGTAGTTGTCAATACTGGCATGTTTTTACCTGCCTGTGCCATATTTTTCGAGTTTATGTAGGTGTGTAGCTAGGTATGTAGGTATAGGTATTACTTTGAAACGCTTTGTAGCTCAAGTGGTTTGATAAATTTTGACGTTTGAGTTTTCCGCGTTAGGTACCTCTAAGGTAATTGTGACACTGACGCTGTGCATATGAAATACATAAATTAAAAAAGTTAGTTTGTAAATTAGTTACCAATAAATATGTAGGGGAGAGTAACCAATATTGAACCATAGCTTAAATTGAACTACTTCTGTATTTCTACTAAAATGGCACTATCTTTGCCCACAATGGCACACAA